GGATTTGAACTCACGCCTGCCACGTGGGCTGCCACGTGGCATTACTGGGAGGGACGAAGCCCTCCTTGCGTCCTTCTGTTTTCTTCTTCGGCGTCGCCGCGTCGGTTTCTTCTTTCTCCTCTTTAACTTCGATGCAGGGATTTGAACCCACGCCTGCCACGTGGCATATGGAAAAGCCTGCCTGCCACGTGGCATCAGAAAACGATTCAACCAGTCTTCTGCGTGCCTGCCACGTGGGACCAGAGAAAATTTGCCCTCCATACTCGTCTTCGTCATTGCCTTATTGCCACGTGTCATCACGGGAACCCTTGGACTGGATTTTGTTTTCTTACCCTTCCACTTGGCACTAGAAGAAAGTCTCCTGCGTGCCTGCCACGTGGCATTAGCAAACGATTCAACCAGTGTCGTGCCTGCCTGTCTGCCTGCCAGGTTGCGTCAGGGAAAAGCCGCCCTCACCTCCTCTTCCATGTTCGTCTTTGTGATTGCCTGACTGCCACGTGGCATCACTAGGACCATTCGTCTGGATTTATAATTACGGTCATTGCATGCGTGATTGAGTAATTTGCTGATTGATTGATCAATTTCCTGATTGGTTGATTAATTTGTTGATTAATGGATTAATATGCTGACTGGTTGAATCATTTGCGTGAATCTTTTACTGATTTAATGATCAATTATGGGATTGGTTGATTAATTAGTTAATTGATGGATTAATTTATTAATTTGCTGACTGGTTGAATCATTTTCTTGAACCATTTGGTGATTGATTGAATTGCAGAGTTATTGAATCGTTAACTTGTGTCCCAATACATGCCCGGATGCAACCAAATTTGTGTCCGGGAACATGTCCGGATGCATCCACCTTGTGTCCGGGTACAAACCCGGGGTGCCCGGCCGGGCATGAAACCCGGGCAGGACAGGGCAGGGTTCGTGGCAGTCCCGGCGCCCGAAAAAAAAAAAATAATAATAATAAATTCCATTAAAAAACGGTTATGTAGAGTTGCAATACAAATGACATTTTTATTTTTATTTTTAATGGAAAAATACATAGGAACGTTTTATAATGAACCAAAGGTTTTGTCGGCTAACATCCCCGCACCCCAAAAAAAAGTAGAACACTTTTTTAAAATGTTGTTGTGCTCCCCCAACGGGACGGCATCACCAGCCGAACCCAGAGGGGAAGTCACAGTGATTCCAGGAAGAGGCTGACAAGGCGTGAACCACAAAACCGATGCTGCAGTCTGTGTACTCTACATTTGTAGTGCACACTGCACAATCAACAAAGCCTACACACTAAAAGTAAACAGGAAGAACAAGCTTTCTAATACAGATGACATTTTCCTGAGGGTCACATCAGAATTCCTTGCACAGCCGAAGATATTAATAATATTTTAATATAGCTTTTTCCTGGGCAAGGTCGTCTTCTACGGTGGTGGTCATAATAAAAAAAAAAAGAAAAAAAAAAAGAAAAGAAAACAACAACAACAACAACAGAGTAAGGCACCCTTCCCCCTTTTTTTTTTTTTACAGCACCCACCTTTCAACCCCCTTGACCCCTTAAAAAAACAATTTATACCCCCCCTTCACAGTCAACACTCAAAAAAGAGAAAGGAGCCCGGATTTAGGATCCTCTGGCCATGTGCAGAAAGCCTCCACCCCCCGCCCCCCCCCTCCAAAAAAAAAAGGCAAAAACAAAAGAAAGTGCTGGTTTTTGCCTGCATGGGGTGCCCTGTGGATTTTTGCCTGCATGGGGCCACTTGCCTGGGGTGCACGGCCATGCTGCATCGTGGGGCGAGTCAAGTAGCCGAGGCTAATTAAAAATTTCTAGACATTTCTCTCTCTCTCTCTCTCTCTCTCTCTCTCTCTCTCTCTCTCTCTCTCTCTCTCTCTGTGGGATGTATGTAGTATGTACTACTACCTTGGTAGTGTGTCTCTGAAGGAAAGTGGCTACCCTATAGCCTAAGGGGAAAAGAAAGAAGTGAAGGACCAGAGGTAGATATAGGGCTTGGCTCCAAATGTGGAAAATGAGAATGTATCCGGGGGCCTAGCTCAGTTGGTAAGGCATGCAAGTGGCATTCAGGAGGTGGTGGGTTCAATCCCCATTGACCACCTGATGTACCTTCCTGGGCAAGCTTGGCGCCCGCCACCTAGAGAGATGCCGTTGGTGTCCCCGAGTGGCATTAAAAAGCAGTCTCTGCTGCTGTTCATAGGGGGAGGAAGCCACCTAGATAGATGTCGTTGGTGCCCCTGAGTGGCATTGAGCAGAGACTGCAGATGTTTATAGGGTGAGGGGACCGGAGGGGAGGTACAGTGACTGACCCATAGGAGAAGCTCGGTCCTGATGCTACCACAGCTGACCCCTGGCTGGTATCGCCCACATGCTGTAGCAGGTATTGCACCTGGTGGTAGGTGCAGCTCACACATGTTCCCTCGTTGGAGGCTTGAGCACAGATGTGGCTGCTTCGGAGCTCCCCGTAATACTATAATGACAGTAAAGAAAGGCCTGAAAGGCCTTCCTGTCCAGATTTGACAGGTAATTGCGTTGGTTGGGCTTTAAAAAAAAGGAAAATGAGAGTGAAACTTCCCCTAGAACATGCAAAGATACTCCGCCATATCTTTGAATTTGTCTTTTATGCATGTGGTGGGTAGTGGAGCTGGCACTTTCACGTGGCTGGAAACAGCCTGCGCGGTACGGGCGCCGGCCTCCTTTTTTTTCTTTTCTCTCAATTTCACCTCACACTACCTACCTACCACCACTCCTAACCGGCTGTAGGTTGGATTTTAATAAAGATTGGTCTTCTTCTTCAAAAAAAAAAAAAAAAAAAAAAATGTTCAGTTTATTGTCCGAAATCTTTTGATTTTTT